ACTGCGCAATAGATTCAAATGTTTACAGACGATAAAACTAAATCCTACTTCACTTGTCTAAACAATGAATTACACGTGTGTTTGAATTAGTTTACAACCTTTTTAAATGATGAACCATTTCTACACAAATAATCTCTATCGCTAAGCAGAGGAACATTTCGAAAGGGTAAATTTCCACTTTTATGTGTTTCGTTTTTCCAAAATTGCTACGAATATTGAATTGATGCTAAAAATGCACATGCATAAATAGATAGAACTTGACAACTTTCAAAAGTTCAAACCCATCCATAGGGTCACTTATAGTTTATATTCGCCGAATAGAAATAACACAGCAAACTTAATCCCTTGCTCAGTGTAGGATTATTCCTGTTACAAAAATAAATGAAGTATGACTACGATCTCCTTAGAACAAGCTTTCAAAATATAAACAACAAATTTACCACAAGTTGTATGAATGTGTACACTTTATTGAATGTTTGTAATATGTAAAATACTGATATCGACTGGTTTTCAATAGTTTGTGGTGGAAGTGATTAACACTTTTTATGTGGGGTCGATGAGCTAGACGACGAGCTAGACGAGTGCGGGTGGTGTGTGTGGTGCGCGTGGTGTGTGTGGTGCGCGTGGTGCGCGTGGTGCGCGTGCTTCTTTGGCGACCAAGAATGAAGAGCCTTTATTCTTTTGCATTTGTAGCACTTGACCGAGTTAATATTGATGCGGTTCTTATTATTCTGCTTGGACCCTTTGATGTGACATATTCTCGTATACCTCTTGCCATCTTTGACTGCTATCCATATGTCATGATTTGTTTGCAAAGATACAACTTGCTGCATTGCAGACAAAACCGTGAATACCAATGGTGATTGATTTAAAAACAGGTTCAAATTTCCATTGCTGAGCCAGATTTTTATCTGATTCAAATTCCATGATGGATACCATGATCCTGCTTGGGCCTCAGCACTCGCGATTATTGCAATCAGCACGGCAAGGACTGGAATTAATGACTTTTTGGTTAAACGAGCCATTTTGCTTTGTCGAATATTACTGATGGGACTAGTTGAACGGTGATCAGTAACCGTATATATACGCTTTTGCCGATGATATCATGAATTCAGTGTACTGATCATATATATATATATATATATATGAACGTCATAAAAAAGGCTAAAAATTATCCATTCTTTTGATCGAGACAATTTATATCATTATCTGGTTTTATTTTTAACAAGTGAGATGTCAATACACAATATAAATTTTTCAAAAATATCTTTTGACTTTCCTTTGACTCAAACCTTACCAATGTGAAGCAATCAGTTCAAAATGAAATGAGATATAAAAATCAATGCAATTTCGAAAGTCGCCAATAAACATCTCTGAAATTTCTTGAAAAAACGTAAGATTCAAACTTGCTGCTGCGATTATCTGATTCTTTATTAAACTTTTGAAAGCCAAGTGTTTTCATGTAAAGTAGTCTATTTTTAAATAGATTCATTTTGGTTATAGATGCATCTTTAGTCGATCAACACTTTTTCTCACACAGCAAATACAACAGCAAGCACAACTACCATTTGGTTCGACGTTTTGCTATTAAGTTAGTTTAAGTAGCTTAAATGTAAGTTAAGTAACAGTAAAGTACTGAGCTTCATGTCAAATTTACTGTTAAATCTAAACCTTAATGATTTCTACAAAAATCAATAGATGGCGTTAGGGTCTTGCATTTGCCTTTTGCTTTTTATCCGAAGACGATGAGTGAGATGAATGCGAGTGAGAGTGTGAAGAGGAATCGGGATGTTTATCATAGTGGTGGTGTGGTGGTGGTGATGCTTAAGTTTCTTACATTTGTAACACTTGACCCAACTAATTTTCATGTAGTCGGGATACTCATACTTGCTCACTTGGAAGATTATCCATATGTCATATATATATATATATGTACTCTGACGCACATTTTGATAGAATGCTGCTAAAACGGTGATTTGTAATGGGAATAGAAGATTCAAGAAGCCGTTCAAATTGCCAATGAGGAGCCAGCTTTGTATTTGGGCCAAATTCGTTGTTTTTGTCTATGCTTGGACTTTGCCACTAAATGAAATCGCTATCGGCATGGCCAGCACCAAAACTGACGAGTTTTTTGTTGATCGAGCCATTTCCATTTATTGAATGAAACAGATGTGATCACTTCTTCAATTGATATTAATATCAATGACAATTGTCATATCCTTTCACCTTATGCTATGTACAATTTTATCAACTTAAAAATAATCTTTTTCTTTCGTAAAAGAATGCTAAAATTCAACTGAAGTCAATAAGAAATATATATTTCTTTATATTTAGCCATATGACGTCGAGAAAGTAACAACATTTCAAAAATATCCTTTGACATTACGTTGACTTTTCTTCAACTTGTACCTTGCTTGTGTGTAGCAATCAATTTTGAATGCTTTTATTCACGGGTAAAAATAACTGGCATTTAACATGCAGCTTGGAATATATTTAAATTGAAAAATTGATGAAATTTCAAAATGAAAATAAATTTTGCGAAAAATTGCACGATTGTTCGTCTTTCAATTTATTGAAAATGGATTTAAGTGGTTTTTTTATCTTCACTTTGGTCATTGGTCTCGATTCATTCAGTTTTCATAGCTTGTCATCCAAAACATGTTGATTCAAATAAATGTCGATTTTAATGATATAATATGCAGTATGTACTATAGAACATCTATTTGTTTTTTTTTTCTTTTGCAAGCTCGCAAGTAATTTAAAATTCGAGGGTTATATATATTTAGAAAGCGAAAATGGCTTGAGACGCGTTGAAACAATTGCTCAATTCAAGTGTCCTTCAAACTGAATCATAATCCATTCAACAATAACCGGTAATAACTGGTATCGAAGATATGGTGCATCCAAATGAACCAACAATATTTATGAAGAATCTGGATTGCGATGCAGTTGAAATTTTTTTTTGACTTTCCATTAACATTCACCCAAGTTGAAGAAGCTCTCAAAATAATATAACCTTTACGAAATGATTTATTGTTGAAAGTATAAAAATACAATTGAATGCCGTTTCGAATGGATCATCACTTCTCCTTTATTCGTCTTTGGATTTTTTGAATAATTATAACCAATGTAAGAGTCTATAAAATGACTTTCATTTAAAAAGAATCTCGTGTAATGGATTAAGATTTTACGCAAACAGATTTTGTAGCTGCAACAAAGAAAAAGTCTTTTGAAATTCGATGCAATCTCTTATGTATATCTAAATAAAAAAAGAAACAATATCCTGAAAGCGTTTAAGTTTCTAAAATGAAAACATCATGTATGTTGCGAGTAATATGAAGATATCTTCTTTATTGAATGTTTGTATATGTTTTTGGATACACTAATTTTGAAATTCAAAAGAAACTTCAGTGGTTAAAAATCTGTATCATCTTTAGCAGTTTAACACTTTTTATCTGTAGGCGACGATGTGTGCGATGAGTGTTTATGCGGGTGGTTCGAATGTGGCGAGTGATGTTATTTAGGTCTTATGCATTTGAAGCACCTGACCCAAGTAATTCGAATGTAGTTATTCATAATGTGTTTATGACCTTTGATTTGACATATCTTTGACCACCTTTTCTTGACTTGAACTACTATATATATGTCAAAATATGTAATCGTGCCTACTGTATGCGTGAATGCTGCCACAACGGTGAATTGCAATGGTGATTGATGTAAGTAGTCGTTGTTCAAATTTCCATTGATGAGCCAGATTTTTATTTGGGCCAAATTCATCGCTGGTGACCATTGAGCCTCGGCACTCAAGGTAAATGCTATGAGCATGGCCAAAATGAGAGCTGATGTGTTTTTGGTTAAACGAGCCATTTGGATTGAGTGAATCAATCACGTGTGATTATTTCTTCAACTGATACCGCCAGATCCTTTTCCTATTGTATATATATACGATTTTTGGGAATGAAAAAAAATTCTCCTTTCACAAAAGAATACTGACGTATTCGTTTATAAATATAAATTCATATTTGCAATTACAGTTTATTTCTAGATATTTCATTTCGCTAATCGAAGTCAATGCTGCGGTCAATGTCGAATATATTCATTTTTACATGCAGCAGCTGGATGTCGACACAGAATTTTTATCCAGAAATATGCTTCGAATCACTTTTGGATCTAAGTTCGCTGGTGTAGTGTAATCAACTCTGAATAAAATCGCCTGAAATCTTGGAAATAATGAAAATCAAAACGTTCTATTCTTATAGAGCAAAGAGAAATAAGTAACTGAGTCATTGAACGTTAAGACAGTTGTTGCTTAGTTCAAGTATTCTTCGATTCGTGATGAATTAGGATCCGATTGAACAGTTCAATTATAAGCTGTATCCGTCGATGAACCAATATTCTCTTCTCCTATATGGAGCTGCAATAAAGCCTAAAAATATGTTTGACTTTCCAAAAATGGAAAAATTCCTACATTTATATCACCTTTAAGAAATAATTTACAAGAATAAATAAAATTTCATTTCAAAAGAATGCGTTCTCATTTCTCCTTTATTCGTTTTTCAATTTCACGAAAATTGATCCAAACGTTTTCGTCGTCGATACATTGGCAATGTTTTTCGATGATTTCTAAATATCTCTTTCGTTCTAAACAAATGATATACAAGCGTTTTGCCTTATATTTGACGGTTGCCAATTCGTTCATTCTTGTCCTTAGTTTTTTCAAACTATTTGTAAAAACACGAGGATAAGAGCTGATGTCGTCTTCGGTGAAATGAGTTTCGTTTAGTAGAAAATCCAATTGTTGTCGAATCTAAAATGAGATGGACCATGAGTTTATGATTGAAACAATTGCTTACAAATATTTTATACCTTTGTCATGTTGCATTTTGCAAGCGCCGGACAACTTTTCAATGCACTAATTTTGGTCTTTTCATCCCAATTCAGTCGTTTACCTATATAGTCTATGGCATTGCCACAGCCATTGAGAAGCTCTCTTTGTTTTTCTTGCCGTTCAATCATTCTGCATATGGAAAAAAATAGACTTTGTGACACACAGTGGGCGAACATAATTTCTAAGCATGAATTTGAAATATTTAACATACGTATTCAATTGTGCCTCTGGGCATGTGAGCATCCACGATGAAATTGGTTCCGTTGATCTCGACTTCAGTTCCATCAAAAGATTTTCCATTTTATTCAAGTTCATTCGAAATGTCAATGGCGAATTTAAAATGCTATTGAGTTCCACTCCACACGCAAGGAGCATATCCAACTTTTGATTGAGCATTTTTGGAGATCGAAAGAAAATACTAGGACTCTTAGCGAAATGGGATGCAACGACCGATGGTGGAACCTGGAATCGGTAATCATTCATTTTGAGTGCAAAATATCAAACACTTCGGATCAAAGCGCAATCAACTAACCTTCAGTCGTTCACTGAAATAATAAATAGGATTCTCGCTAGATTCGTACAACTCTTGCTCCTCTAGAACCGCTTTGAATTTGTCCAGCTCCGTTTTATCGACACAAATCAAGGGTAAAAAGTCGTCAATATGCCTTGGATCCATTCGATCGAGAATGCGAAGCTTCTGCTGTAGTTGCTCTGTGGAGTAAAAATATTTGAAAACCTTTATGGTTTTAACAGAATGGAAAATAACAGATATTCAAAGGGAAAAAACCTGAAGACATGGCCAGCACAGCCGAATTGCTCGTAATAGTTTCCAATGAAACGCCTTGCGATCGCAAGAACTCAATGTTTCGCTTAGCGCTGTCTATCTGATCGAAATGATTGATCTGATTGTAATAAATACGAGCGGCATCTTCACTGTCACACTCAAGCATTTCGCTTAGTTGATTCTCGATTCGAATTTTTCGTTCACCCTTTGCTTCGATATTCTCTTTTGAGTGGTTTGTCGTTTTTGTTTGCATTCGATTTAAATACATTTCAAAGACGTCATCGGCACATTTAAAAAACCACAATTTCACATCCTTTGTATTCAGTGACATTAAACGTTCTAAGCGTGATACATAAACGTGCTCAGATCGATCGAGGGCATACAATGTCTTTAGAATGCTTAGCGGTTTTATATTGTAGTCCAGTAGAATTTGCATTTTTCTATCGATAACATCAAATGGAGCTATGAGCGAATACTCGTTTTTCACACAATACTTGGCCACGATATTCGGTTCAATCTGTAACGAATACGTTGGATTATTAGTGTTCCATTCAATAGTTAGTATGTTTGTTTACGTACTTTTAACTTGTGACTGAAGTAATAAATTCGATTTCCTCCTGGTATCAAATGACTCTCCGCAACCATTGAATCACACGCTTGCTTAAGACGATCTTCTTTCATCTCCAATAACGGTACGAGGTCGTTGAACGTATACCCACTCAAGGACAGCATATTCAAAATATCCAATTTGTTCTGCAGAACATCTGTAATCAACGGTTGATTAGCAAATCATATCAAGAGTAGGAGTTGATTTAAAACATCAACTAACCTTCGGTCATCACGAGCAAAAATGGATTTTCAATTATTGTTTCGGATGAAATGCCATTCTTCATTAGAATTTCAATATTATTTCCTACCGTGTTCATCATATCTATCGAACGAATAGTCGGAAACTGATCATAAATACTATACGCTTTACTTTCCGTGCACGTTAACAGCTGACGAAGTGATTTCAGCACAAACCGCATATTCGGTTCAAATGCAAACGATTTCTTTGCACGAACATTTTGTATGGCAACTAAATCAACCCATGATTTGTTTGAATGAGAAAAACGCACTTGAATCTCACGTATAAAGGCCGATTTGGATATATTTAACATTTTCTAATTTCTTATACAATCTTCTCAACGCGAGAGATTTGTTTACCTTGTTTTAACCATACGTGACATCTGTCAATGTCACAACTAGCGTGAATGTAGCTGCAAATGGAGTGAAAGCATTTCGCGTTAATTCGAAAATTAGCGAATCCGTTTATTTTTACATAATGAATTCGATTTTCCAAACAAATGAAACAAAAAATGATGATTTCGGTCACTGAGAATATGTTGCGTGCTCAATGGTTCTCATGTACAGAAAGTATTCTACCTGTATTTCGGTCAAAGGGTCAAACGATGTCAATCTCATTAAAAACGATGACAATAACAAGGCCAATGTAGCGTAACTGCGTCCAAATGTTCAATGACAATATATTGACTTTGTGTTTTTTTCTCTGTGTGTACTGTCAGTGAAGCATGAAGCCAACGGATTTCACAGCACTTGCCCATTTTAAAAACGACGACAAAAAATTATCACTACCAGAAATGAATTAAATTTTAGTTTGAAACTTGTTCTGTATGTATCAAGTTCATTATACAAAGGTCGTATTGCTAGAATTCCTATTAAATGGAATCAAGACTCAGAACTAATGTGAATGAAACGATCATAGACAAGATGTTGATTTCCGAATCTATGCAAGAGATCAAAACAATGTATGTATGCAGTTGGATTATATTTTTGGAGGGCAATACGCAATCGCTAATGGCTACAATACAAAACATACGCAAAGATGTACTACGATTTGTCACCGTAGAAATAATACAATAATGAATTGGCATAATCAAAAGGAAATAGAAAAGATGTGCGCTTTGATATTTTTATTATGTGAATTGAACAAAAGAAGAAAAACAAAACGTCTAACGATTTTATTATTTTTGTCGTCGGTTCATCCGCTTTGAAGAAAAAAAAAGGTGGCATTTGACCGTTTTTCCCTTCTATATAAATGTGCACGAGGAGTGGTCTCGATCAGTTAGATTCGAATAGTTGGCAAGTAAAGAACTCAAAGAATTTGTTGAACATGAAACTGTTTTTAGTGGCAATCTGTTTATTTGGCGTAGTTGCGTATAGCAGTGCACAGATATTTGGTCGTGGTGAGCCGCGAGGTGCATACGGACATGGCCAGGTATTGAAAAGTGTTTTAACACTCTTCATTTAAACTTTAAAAGGTGTAAATATAGAAAAAGTATGGTGGAACATGATGATTTGTTCATTTTCAGCCTCCGCAGCCAAATGCAGACCAGCAGAGAAGGGCGCAAGAAATGTTTGGAAGATGTCAACGCCAAGAGCTAACCACTGATGCCGATATGACTGAATTTTCGCAACAAAGGAAACCAACTACCAAAACGGGCAAATGCTTACACGCGTGCCTTATGGAATCAAGTGGATTGGTAATACCTTGGGAGATAACATTTCATATTGGTGTTTTACTAGACTTTTTTTTCTCCATTTCAAGCTCGTCAACGGTAAATTGTCTGTAGAGAAATCAGTTCATTTTATGAGCCAAATGGCACCGGGAAACAATGAACTCGTTCGAATTGTCAAAGAAATTTCTGAAGAATGTGCACCGTTGATGGACTCAGATCGGTAAGAAATCATATTCAAATGTTACGTTCTTCAAATTTCTTTCTCAATTGATGATTGGTGATTTGTTTTCTCTTGCAGTTGCGAGCTGGCATTCAAAATTATGGAATGTACCGAAGAAGGTATCCAAAAGCGACAAGATGAAATGAGAAAATTCATGCCACGACGACCACCACAACAACAATAAATCAGAATTTCTCCTCATTGATTATCCAGGATATATGGCCGGTTCACAATAAAAAAAATGTTTTTTTAAGAACAAAACTTGGGTTTTTATCAAGGTTTATTTTTTTTAAAAAAAGTACATCAATCAATGATCCACACATAATACATACATACACATACATAAACGTGTGTTCAGAAAAACTTTTTATAAATCTTTTGGATTTAAACCCAATTTCTTTGCGCCGTCATACACACACTTCATTATTTGATAGGCAAGTTCGCATCTAGGATGAATTAAGAGTAAAACGTAGCATAAAACTGAATACGTGCTGAAATAATGAATTCATTCAAAAATTCAAATAAATATACCGTTCAAGTTTGCAGTCGGGTATCTTACATCCAGTTAAAATTTGTTCTAATTTTTTCTGCTTATTTCCATCGAAATCTTGGCCATACGTGGACAATTTAACATATTGATCACGAAAGAAACGTCGATTGTTTATCTAAAATTTCAATAAAACATAATAAAATGCACTTGATTCCGTTTTTTT